CTTAAGACATCTACTGTACCAGATATCCTGAAGGAGACTGTTCTTTCTTTTGGTTGTTTCCTTTCAAAATCCATCTTCCTCACATGTAAATTGCCGTCATAATTATATCTCCTGCCATATTGTATGCAGAGGACGATATTACTCTTTTCTTTCGCATAAGGGCTATCTCCCATCACATGAAATTTCCATTTTTTGGTAAGACACTCCATTGCTTTTGCCCCCTGGCTATACCTCTTCTCTCCAAAAAGCTGAAGCCTGAAGATTGAGGGGGGTCCTCCCTTTCTTCCGTATGGGTGTTTGATTTCATAGAGCTCTCATTACTGAGAGCATGCTCTTGAACCCTCTTGGTTCACTTCTACCTTATAAATCTACAGAAACACCATGTGTCCTATTGTTTCTTCCTCGCTCCAGCGAGTGTTTGTCCCCGTAGCACTTTTCTTAGTTGTTTGTTTTTGGTATTGTGCTCCCACCATGTTGGGGAAGTGGGGGGCATGATCCAGGTGTTCCAATCACCTACATGGCCACAGCTGTATAAAATTAAGCACCTAGGCATACAGATTGCTTCTACAAACATCTGTGAAAGAACGGAGTGCCCTCAGCTCATTGAATTCAAGAGTGGTACCGTGATAGGATGCCACCTCTGCCCCGTCCATCCGTGAAATTTCCTTGCTACTAATATTCCACGGTCAACTGTTAGTAATATTAAAACAAAGTGGAAGAAACTGGGAACAACAGCAACTTGGCCACGAAGAGGTAGGTCACGTAAAATGACAGGGTCAGCGAATGCTGAAGCGCACAGTGCGAAGAAGCCAACTGTCTGCAGACCTCCAAACTTCATGTGGCCTTCAGATTAGCAGCAGTGCGTAGAGAGCTTCATGGAATGGGTTTCCATGGTCGAGCAGCTGCATCCAAGCCTTACATCACCAAATGCAATGCAAAGCATTGGATGCAGTGATGTAAAGCACACCACCACTGGACTCTAGAGCAGTGGAGATATGTCTCTGGAGTGACTAATCACACGTCTCTGTCTCGCAATCCAATGGACGTGTCTGGGTTTGGCGGTTGCCAGGAGAATGGAACTTGCCTGACTCCATTGTGCCAAGTGTAAAGTTTGGTGGAGGGTGGGTTATGGTGTGGGGTTGTTTTTCAGGGGTTAGGCTTGGCCCCTTAGTTTCCGTAAAATGGAACTTTTAAGGCATCAGCATACCTAGACATTTTGGACAAATTCATGCTCCCACCTTTGTTGGAACAATTTGGGGATGGCCTCTTCCTGTTCCAACATGACTGCATACCAACGCACAAAGCAAGGTCCATAAAGACATGGATGAGCAAGTTTGAGGTGGAGGAACTTGACTGGCCTGCACAGAGTCCTGATCTCAACCCGATAGAACACCTTTGGAATGAATTAGAGTGCAGACTGTGAGTCAGGCCTTCTCATCCGACATCAGTGCCTGACCTTACAAATGCGCTATTGGAAGAATGGGCAAACATTCCCATAGACACAATCCTAAACCTTGTGGACAGACTTCCCAGAAGAGTTGAGAAGCTGTTATCGCTGCAAAGGGTGGACCCACTCAATACTGAACACTACAGACTGGGATGCCAGTAAAGTTCATGGCAGGTGTCCCAATACTTTTGGCAATATAATGTATGTTTCAGTGCATGCCTTTAACAGATTACATAAAGGTTGTATACATCGTACACTGCAATGTTACTCTTTCACACTGGCTATTGACTCTTATATAATGTGTACTGTTCCCACTGTCTGTTTTGGGGGTGGAGCCACCATTTCTCCTTTGACCCATGAATAAGTTTTGCATTATGGCCCCCATAAAGTTCTTAAGCTGAAACGTCCGCATGTTCCGTGACAGGATCAAATGCTCTGCTATGCCCCTTCCGTGGTGGCTACACCCATTTTGGTTAACTGCTTTGGCAGATCAGGAGGATATTCAACAGGAATGGCAATATTACGTTAGTTTAAACAAATCCCAAACCGATCTCAGAGGATGTGTTTCGGTTAGAATTACACGCTTGCTTGCTGCTCTCCACACGCATAAATAGGCTGAAAGCCTCTTCTAAATTTATCTTACAAGCCACTGACCGATTGACGCCCCTCACTGATATTTTTAAGGTGGACCCCTCTCCTGAAAACTTCCTTGTGTTACGATCACAAATTAGCTTGTGGAAAAACTACACCTTACATAAAAAAAAGCTCTTGCTGGTCTCAGACGGGGAATTTTTGAACAGGGTAAGAGGGCTGGTAAGTTGCTAGCAAATGTAGCTCACCATGACTTACAACCCCATGTGGTTATTACTTTACTAGACCCACAGGGTGCCATCATCACTGACCCATCACTGATTGCCACAGAAATTTGTGCATATCACACATCCTTATATTCTCCTCAAGTGACTGTCGCAATCTTGGAAACTAGGGACAAAGGGTCATCTCTTGAGGAATCCCTTCCTACGGACGAAATTCCCACTGCCATTTCCACTCTGGACCCTGTTAAGGCTCCCGGATGAGATGGTCTTATTCTTGATTTTTACGCAACCTATTCAGAGGTTCTGGTTCCCTATATAAATACATCTTTAAAGAGGGGGTCCTGTGACTCTGAGGGAGGCCGTAATCATTGTGATTCCCAAACTAGATAAGGACCCTCATCTACCTGAATCATACTGCACCAATTTCTCTGCTTCAGGTGGCTATCACAATTCTAGCAAAGGTTCCGGCCCTACGTCTTATCCAGGCCATTTTATGGTTCAAGAAAGGTAAAAATATGACCGTGAACATCCAACATCTATATATGAACACCCAAGCCGTTCATAATGTAGTGGGTACCACAGCAGTGGTGGCACTAGATGCCGCCAAGGCATTTGACTCCGTAGTGGGGATAGTTCTGGGAATGTCTAAGGGGCTTTGGTTCCAATTTCATGAAATGGGTACAAATGCTTTACTATTCCCCAATGGCCAGAATTTCTGTTAATGGTTGGGCGTCAGATTTTTCCCTCTAGGATGAGGGATTCGGCAAGGATGTCAGTTATCTCATTATATGCCCTTGCAGGTGAACCCCTAGCTATTTCACTTAGACTGCACCCCAACATCCAGGGCCTCCAGGAGGCCCCCCTTGTGGAAACTATGGGCATGTATGTAGATTACATGATACTTTATTTAGAAGACACTAGCCCATCACTACAAGCTGCCTTACAAGTTACTGAAGAGTTTAGAGTGCACTCTGGGCTATGAACTGGAGTAAATTACAGATCCTTCCCCTGGATATGTAACCCCCATCATGTAGCTCTGCTTCTCTTCTGCTATGTAGAGTGTCCGCTATTCAATACCTGGGTGTCTCTGTCACTAGAGATCTGCAAGACATTGAACTGTTATTTACCACTCTGAAGGCCCACACACAATCTTGGGCAAGACTACTCCTACGGCTCATGGGGAGAATAAATATTGTTAAAATTGTTCTCTTACCCAAATTTATGTATATGTTCTGGCATTCCTCTGTGTTATTACCTCTGAAAATCTTTAAAACAATTGATGCTATCCTATATTTTTTGGGGGACCTGGTAGGCATAAACTCCGCTGGCTTACACTTAAAAACCCCACCAGTCTGGACACGGCCCTAACTTCCATTCCTATTATCTGACAGCACAACTGTCCCACATCTAACATTTAGAGAAGTCTGAAGCCAATCGTTATTAGGCTTTAGTTTGTAGACAACCAGGTTGAGGTTCATAAACTCCCCTACAGGTGATTCTAAGGGGAAGTGGGAAGGTGGAAGCCCTGACAATATGAGTCCCTGTTAAAGCACCATAGACGTGTTTGCGAGTTAGCTCTGAGGAGAGTCAAGGCGCCGCCTCCTCCCAACCGCTAGGACAAAGACATTTCAAACCCTAAAAGAGGATTTTGATCTCCAGAAACATATGCTATTTAGATATTTTCAGCTCCAGCATGCCCTAGCAGTTTCCCGACTAGCTTCCTACCCTTCCGTTTCGGTCTCTGATGGCACAGGGACAGGCACACAATACACTAATTTATCATCATCATTATACAATGCTCTGCAAACTCTCACAGTGGCCCAAATAGCAGAGAGAGCCAAGACTTGATGAGAGCCAGATGTTGGGTCTGTGGAGGCAGAAGAGTGGGATGAGATACTGGCAGGTACCAAGTTAATTTCACCTAAGCTATATGATAGACTCATGCAACTTTACATTGTACACTGAGCCTACCTCACCCTGCAGTTTCTAGATATCGCCCAGAACACAGTCCATTGTGTCCTCGATGCTTGGAGACTTCAGGTACCTTCTTTCTATTTTGGGCCTGTCCAGTTATACAGGGCTACTGGCAGCAAATTTTTAAATTCTTGTATGATCGTATGGGCTCTCCACTTCAATTAAATCCTAAACCATACCTACTGGGCCTTCTTTCAGAATTAGAAGCAAACAAGTTTCTTACACAAAACCCTTTTTAGTGCTCAGAAGCTTGTTGCACACCACTAGATGCAGAGTGCTCCCTCTACATTTCACGCCTGGTTGATAAAAGTTAATTCTACACACTCCCCTATAAAAAAAATGTGTTTATCTTCACAGGAGCTGCTCTATAAAATATGTGACAGTTGGCTTGAACAGCCAGATAATTGTGTGGCCTGACACTGACTCAGGGGATTTGCATTCAGGCCTTGGACTTCCCTTTTATCTGCACATATCCACCATACACTGCCTTTCCTGCCACATTGTACTAATATTTATAGGGGTGTATGGCTCCTCTTTCTACCTCTGGCTCCCAATATTTACACGGCTCCCATGCCTTGAAAGTTGGTAGAACAACAGGTGTATTTCCAGTGTACTGTATCTACCGTCAACTGTTTGATATACCTATAACTAGCTTGCACACTACTGGATTCTATTAGTGCATCATTTGCTGTGTACTATACCATGCAAGTATACCATGTTCTATCTCTGTTAATAAAGTTGCTTTTTTTGACAAAAATAACTACCTCATCGATAATGTTGTTAAATTCCTTTTCCATTTCCGTTTTCACATTGTCCTTAATTTGAGATACATCAGACTTGGGTAGAAGGAAGTTTTCTAACTCTTTCTCAAATTCCTGCATGAGAGCCTGTTCATCTTCATCCTCAGTATCTTTCAGCTCATCAACTGTACTCGATTCTGTTTCACTCTGTGCCTCTTTGTTCTCAGAGCCAAGTTTGTCTTCATCCTGCAGAAAAAAAAAAAAAAAAACATAACACAGCTTAACCACTTTCCCTCCAGAGGATTTACTCCTCTTCCTGACCAGGCCATTTTTTGCGATACGACGCTGCGCTATTTTAACTGACAATTGCTTGGTCATGCAATGCTGCACCCAAATGAAATTTTTGTCCTTTTTTTCTCCCCACAAATAGAGCTGGTTTTTCAGTGGTATTTGATCACCTCTGACGGTTTTTATTTTTTGCACTATAAAACAAAATTATATATATATATATATAGACTTTATACTATAGAAAAACATCCAGTAAAAAAAAAAAAAAAAAAACTGACACTGTACTAATTACACTGGGCAGGAAGAGGTTAACATATTGGGTGATCAAAGGGTTAACCGTGTGTTTTTACTATGCGTGCTGTGTGTGTGTTTACAGAAACATGCTGCTGTGTAGAAATACACATCAGCAGCACATCACATCAGCAGGTTATTGCTGACAGACGAGAGACCTGTGTTTACACAAAAGGTCTCTCCCCTGTCACTGTTTCTCGGCGACTGCTGTGTGCTGGTGGAAAATCTCCGGCCGCGACACCATGATTGATATCCATAGCCGCCAAAGGCAGAACACGCACCCCCTACCTGGAAATGCAAATCAAGTATATATACACGTGACTTTGCGCAGCCCTGTAGCAGTATTTCTGCTATAGGGTGGAGGGAAACTGGTTAATCAGGAGCCAGTTAACATTTACATAGATCTATTTTACCAGTAGTATACAGCATAGTAGGAGGAAGCAATATTTTTCAGCAGTCATAAATTTTGCCTTTATTTCCACTGTACCTGTACCTAGTGCTACCCATTAAGGTCTCACGCACACAAGACCTTTTTCTTAACTCTGCTAGAAGCCTTTTCTCCCGGCAGCAGCACTTTCGCAAAAAAAAACAAAAAAAAAACGTGTAACGCATTTAGCCATGTCAAACATTTCGGTGTTAATTTATTTCATTGGCCAAAATAAATAATTTATTCTGGCCATTTAAATGAATTAATGCTCAAGCACTAAATGTGTCTACTGTTTACATGTGTTACCGTGCATTTAGAAGCATTTTTCTGCCAAAATCTGCTGCTCCTGGATGCACTGGCATTGGATTTTTTTTCCTTCCTCTAAAAGTTTATGAGTGCATGGACACATTGGCTAACATGCAGGGAAGTTTAGAGGCAGAAAAAAACAAAAAAAAACAACCCAGATGTCCCTAGTGTGCGTGAGGCCATAAAATACTGCAGATACTAATGTTTGATCTTTCACAACATATAAAGTGTGATATTTCAAAATTAAAAAAGTGTGCTTGGTCAAAAAAAATAAAATAAATTGGGGGGTAAATTTCTCCAGGTATAAAACAGCAAAATACAAGAAGATGACAAATTCCACCATGAACAGAAGGCAGTGACATACCAGAGAAAAGCAAACAGCTTTGTTTTTTATTACATGCGGTCATGCAGTTCTTAGCACCAAAAACACTCTCTGGATCCACAAAGTACCTTTTCGTTTTTCTTTAAATCTTCAAGAAACTTCATCAAGTCTTCTTGATTTCTTAATATTCTGTAGCGGAGAGTCTTGTGTGTACCTACAGTGATGAAAGAGGGGTGCTGTTTACGAATAATGGCTACATAAAACCAAGCTAGATACTGAAAAAGGACAAAGTTCATAGTAATAAATATGATCACTTGTTATTAGTGAATCAGAAACGGTGTGCATAGAGAGAAGTTATAATAAAGACTGCATGATTTGCTGGGATAATTTTTCACATTATACTAACCATCTTGCAGTAATCAAGAGATCACATAATGTGTACTAACCTTGTGTCCCTTCAGCTGGATTGTTATGATTGGGGAATACTCCTTGCTACATAAAGAAGCCAAAAAAAAAAAAAAAAAAGATTAAATTGCAGAAAAATAGTGATTTCATTATTAGAAATTAGTATAACTAAATCTACACTTGCCACTGCACCAATAATATAACAATATGTGTTACACCAATGCAATTTTCACTTGTAGTATGGTTTTTACTATTCAAATCTCAGATGATAAATGCAAATATGAAAGTATGGTTCACACTTCTGCACAAAAGTAGACATCCAGTCAAATGTGAACAATGCTTAAACAGTAACTGCACTTTCATTTGGGGGGAGAAACACACACACACACACACACACACCTCTGGATAATCAAACTTTGTTGCAGATTCCTACCTTTTGTTAACCACTTCACGTCCGGACACTTTTACCCCCTTCCTGCCCAGGCCAATTTTCGGCTTTCAGTGCTATCACACTTTGAATGACAATTGCACGGTCATGCAACACTGTACCCATATGAATTTTTTAGCATTTTTTTGAGACAGATAAAGCTTTATTTTGGTGGTATTTATTCACTACTGAGATTTTTATTTTTTTTTGCTATGTAAATGAAAATGTCCAAAAATTTGGGGAAAAAAAAGTGTTCTTATAAAATTTTGCAAATAAATATTTCATCACAAATCTTGGCCAAAATTGAATCCGTTATCTTTTTAGTGAAAACAAAAAAATTACCCCAAATTAGTTTATAACCAAAAATTATAATTTTTAAACATTTTTTTTACATTTTTATTTTATTTTTTAATATTATGGGTTTTTTTTTCTTTTTTACACGAATTGCTTTTACACCCATAAAGGCTGTAAAAGCAATCATTTCTCCTTCTCTCTGGCTGCATTCTTGCAGCCATTGAGAACTACTGTGTGAGCTGTGATTGGTCACAGCTTGTCACATGGTACAAGGCTGTTGTGAATGGCCTTGTACCATGTGACCTCTGTGATCATTCACAGATTTCACACGTAGTAAGCAATGATGTCAGAAGTAACATCTTGCTTACTACTCTGCATGTAATCACCGATTGGCTAATCAGTGATCACATGATCGGGACCTCGCACAGAGGTCCCATACGACGATAGGAGGACACAGCGGGCACCAGATCGCAGTGCTGCGCGCTCCCAGGGAGACCATTTATAAACAGCCACTCGACCTGCACTGCCACCGTCTGGCCGTTTCTATACAACGGCCAGACAGGAGGTGGTTAATCCTAATTATCAATCAGCTGCTGCAGGGTTCTAATGAGGAAAACTGCAGGGTCTGCAGTCCTTTAGATGCGAGTTCCCTTTGGAAGCATCTCACCAAAAATTAGATTTGTGTTGCAGTGGATGCCCAAGATCTGACTTTTTAGTGCAGACTTCTGGGAAAATTAGTAAGCCAATTTCACGACAAGGAAATTACATTTCTGCAGGGTGTCCTGTACAGAACATCTCCAGGTTGCCATACTGTATTTTATAGAAAATTACAGAGGAAAAACAAGATTCCCTCTCCTAGCGGTCTTCACATTCCTCCATCCAGCTGCTTCCTATCACTGCACTGCATAACCACCAGCCGCTTGCCTGCCGATCTCCGCAGTAGCTTGGATAGCCACACTTCTAAGGATGATACACATACTACCAACCTATATCTAAGCGAGTTCAATACTTTTATTCATACTGTCACTGTTTAAAAAGTTTGCATTTAGATGGAAGTGCCCTCTTCTGCATGTTTTTCTTCTATGTGTATTAGGTTCTCAGGACCTGTTTTAAAGGGAGCAGCCACTATTTAGTTGAATTCACCCCATGTTTTATACATATTAACTTTCAGTCACCTGTGTGTCCCAGTAGCACCATAGTATGGTTTACTATTCAAATCTGATCATAGCTTTGCTAACTTTTATAGAAAATTACAGCAGTGCAGATTGATTAAGAAAGATCATTTTTAATACTTTCAATTACAATATTACTTGTAATGAAAATGGAGTTACCCCTTTAACCAGTTCCCACCCCCATTCCAAGTCTACCCTAACTGTCCTTTCCCTGTAAAGGAAAGATGGCTATATTTACCTATTCTGAGGGCGCTTTGGTCCAGGTTACATGATCACGCCAGCAGCCAGCTTCAGTGAAGAGCAGTGCTTACGTGGTGTCATCACACATGGGCTTACTACAGTGAAGGAATAGGTATTTGATCCCCTGCTGATTTTGAATGTTTGCCCACTCACGAAGAAATGATCAGTCTAAAAATCGAATTGTAGGTGTATTGTAACACAGACAGAATAGCAACAAAAAATTCAAAAGGAATGCATGTGTAACAAATTATGCACGGATTTTCATGTTCATGAGGGAAATGAGTATTTGATCGCCTATCATTCAGCAGGATTTCTGGCTACCAGGTGTCTCATACAGGTAATAAGCTGAGATTAGAAGCAGTCTCTTAAAGGGAGTGATACTAATCTCACTTTGTTACCTGTATAAAAGTCACCTGTCCACAGGAGCAATCAAAAATCAGATTCCAAACTCTCCACCATGGCAAAGACCAAAGAGCTGTCCAAGGATGTCAGGGACAAGATTGTAGACCTACACAAGGCTGGACTGGGCTACAAAACTATTGCCAAGCAGCTTGGTGAGAAGGTGACAACAGTTGGTGCAATCATTTGCAAATGGAAGAAAGACAAAACAACTGTCAGTCTCCCTAGGTCTGGTGCACCATACAAGATCTCACCTCGTGGAGTGTCAATGATCAGGAGAACAGTGAGGAATCCTTCCAGAACTACACGCAAGGATCTTGTCAATGATCTCCAGGAAGCTGGGGCCACAGTCACCAAGAAAACAATTGGGAACACACTACGCCGACAAGGATTGAAATCCTGCAGTGCATGCAAGGTCCCTCTGCACAAGAAAGCACATGTCTAGGCCCTTCTGAAGTTTGCCACTGAACATCCGAATGATGCAGAGGAGAACTGGTTGAACGTGTTGTGGTCAGATGAGACCAAAATCGAGCTCTTTGGCATCAACTCAACTCACCATGTTTGGAGGAGGAGGAATGCTGCCAATGACCCCAAGAACACCATCTCAACTGTCAAACATGGTGGTGGAAACATTCTGCTTTGGTGGTGTTTTTCTGCTAAGGGGACAGGACAATTGCACCACATCAAAAGGGACAATGGACAGGGCAATGTATCATCAAATCTTGGGTGAGAACCTTCTTCCCTCAGCCAGGGCATTGAAAATGGGTCATGGATGGGTGTTCCAACATGGCAATGACCCAAAACACACGGCCAGGCAACAAAGGAGTGGCTCAAGAAAAAGCACATTAAGGTCCTGCAGTGGCCTAGCCAGTCTCCAGACCTTAATCCGATTGAAAATCTGTGGAGGGAGCTGAAAGTTCGAGTTGCCAAACGCCAGCCACTAAACCTTAATGACTTGGAGAGGATCTGCCAAGAGGAGTGGGCCGAAATCCCTCCTGAGATATGTGCAAACCTGGTGGCCAACTACAGGAAACGTCTGACCTCTGTGATTGCCAACAAGGAATTTGCCACCAAGTACCAAGTCATGTTTTGTGAAGGGGATCAAATACATATTTCCCTTATGTGCATTTGTTAGACATGCATTTCTTTCTAATTTTTTGTTGCCATTCTGTCTCAGTGTTACAATACACCTACCATTCAATTTTTAGACTGATCATTTCTTTGTGAGTGGGCAAACATTCAAAATCAGCAGGAGATCAAATACTTGTTTCCTTCACTGTATGGTGCATCTGTTAGCTGTCCCCCCTCTACACTGAAGCCCGTGTTGGGAGCCAAATTATATGACCGGAACACAGCACCTTCAGAATAGACAAGTAAATACATCTTTCCTTTACATGGTAATTAGAACAGGCTTAGAATGGGGGTGGAAGCAGGTTTAAGTATAGCTAATTGACTGGACCTCAACTTTTTTCCCCTTCTGAACTCTGAGCCCTTTGTGAAAACAAATCAAAAGGATCATCAAAAACCCTTACATTTGATACTACAACTAGACTTATAAAATATTATTAAAGGCTACTTTATATTTTAATATGTGGATGATATTTGGTTTAGTGCACATGGACATCTGTCATGCTTTTATGGCAGAGCACTCTGCTTCACCGAATTGGGTAAGATGGGGCAGTATTAAACATCTTTTCCACACAAGCATTCAACACATATTAAGGTGTGAAAAGGCAAGCAGTATTCAGCTTTCTGTCCCTATATATTCAATACCAAGATGCAATTCTCACTTGCATCCTCTATGCTGCATTGGGTGCATGTGAATATACCTGTGTGCACAAACCCTTTGTATGACACCCAAATAATATTAACAGTAAAGCAATGGCCCTGGAGTTGCTACATGCAAATTGCTAGAATAAATCAAATGTTTTTGGGTTGCTCTGATAAATAGATTGCATTTTAATGGATTTTTAAGGCCATACATCATTTGTGAAGCACAGCCCAACATGGGCTTTCAAAAGGCAGGTTGTGAAATCTGAAAAAAGCCAGGTAGCTTTGCCATGAGCTAGAAGACCCACAGCTGCGCTCTTAAAAATGTTCACCATTTGCAGTTCAACCAAATACTGTAGATTTTACATACATAAATGACAGTGCAAATGTGCCGTATGCAGATATCAAGAACTTTGTTTTATAACCACACTATACAAAGACTTTACCGTGGGTTCAGTGTCTGACATCTGTGTTTCTGCATCCTGTGGCTGACTTATTTTATTCCAGATCTCTGCTTCTTCTTGCTCTAGAGTCGCACCACTTTCATCCTGCTCAACTGTAGCAGAATCTTCAACTGCAGAATGTAGTCATTAATTAAAACATTAAAATTATATTAATACACAGCACCAACAATTTACAGAGAGCTTTACCTAACTCAACATTTACATCAGACCCTGCTCTCAGGGATCTTATAACCCAAGGTCCTTATTTCACATGCATACTATGGCAGATTTAGACAGGCACCAATTAACCAACATGTCTTTAGAGGGTGTGAGAAAACCAGAGGTACTTGGAGGAAACCCATGCTAAATTGCTAATATACATCAGCCACACTCCACATCAAAATAACAAAAAATAATTATTGCTAGCTCCACTGTCTGGAATCATTAGAACGCTTTAATTCATTAAATGGACAATGAAACTTCACAACTCATTTAAGTGACTAACACCCTTAGTTTGTCTAGTTTAAAGGGATAGTTCACCTTTACCAAAAAATTACTTAAGATAAGCGGCGTCTGTAGATAAGAACAAACTATCGCTGATTAAATCTGAATGATGCCCTTGCTATAGGTGTTGGCCATTTACGTACCTCATGAAACCTGACTGGAATACTCCCAGGATGTTGCTAGGTGAGGCCTAGTCATTACTGCTCACCTCCACCATCATAGGATTGAGCTCTCAGATGATGAGCTCAAAGCTACTACATCAAGGGAGAGAGAGCACGTGAGGGGTCAGAATCAGAAAAAGCTCACTCCTGTGATGGTGGGGGTGAGCATGACTAGGCCTCACTTAGCAACGTCCTGGGAATATTCCAGTCAGGATTCACGAGGTACATTATTAACCTACACCTATAGCAAGGCGATTATTCAACTTTAGTCAGAGACATACAATTTGTTTTTATCCAGAGACACCCACATAGGCAGTTCTTTGGTCTAGAAGATGAACTATCCCTTTGAGAAAAAAAACTACTTGCATGTCCTTACAGCATAAGATGACTTTTTGATTTTTTTTTTTTACAGGTAAATTTGGTGAAGCCAATGCCACCTACCGCTCTCCTCTTGTGGATGTCCCTCTACAGATTCTGCTATATTCAGGAGCTTCTCTCGATCAGAGGAAGCGGAACCTTTGTTTGGCAATGTTTTAAGATCGAGTGTTTTCAATTCTTCTGACAATTCCTCTACAATGCGCTTTGTGTCAGCTGTAAAAAAAAAAAAAAAAAAAGAAAGATATTTCAATATAGAAATATATTATAATTAAAATGTTACAAAAAGATTTTATGTCCAAACAAAACATTGAAAATAGGGCAACGATTAGGTGTATATAATTGTTGGCACTGTTAATTTGGGTGATCTAAAGGTTTTCTAGCCTCTTGATTACCATGAAAAAAAAGGCATGTACGGTAAAGATAAGCAAATTTGCTTGGGTTTGTGAAGAGTTTCACGATTTTTGCTTGAAATTCAAGGCAAACCCCATTAAGATCTAAGCGGGATGAATCTTGTTATTAAATCATAGGGCTAATAAGCAATCTATTTTTCTTTAAATGGAAGCCTTGTAGCAACCCCCCCCCCCCCCCAAAAAAAAAAAAAAAAAAAAAAAAAAAAACACAAACAGCAAAGGGTTGAGTACACAATCAGAATGAAAGATATTATAAAAGGTTCATTTTTTAAAAAAAATAACAAACATGTCATACTTATGTGCTCTGTGCACTGATTTTGCACAGAGCAGCCCCGATCCTCCTCTGTAGGGCCCTACCTCCTGCCCCATAGAAAGCAGGTTGCAATGGGGGTTCCCGAGCCGCTGCTCTGTATGTCCATTCACACTCTTCTCAATGGCTCACTGGCTGTGATTGAAGTAGCAGAGCCAATGAGCAGGGAGAGACCCGGGAGAGTCAAGGCTCTCGTGCACATCGCTGGGCCGAGAGGAGGCTCAGGTAGGTTTTAGGGGCGCTGCTCCACACAGAAGGCTTTTTACCTTCATGCACAGAGGTAAATAAACCATGAGCCTTTAAAACCACTTTAAAAGTACTATCTTCAGACACCAATATGCCTTGTGTATTTTTTCACTTTTTCCTCTATCCTTTTTCTGCAGCAGCATCAGTATTGCTTTTCTATTGAGGTGGCCCTTCTAAGCCTGCTGGCTACGCAGTGTTAGGGTTAAAAAAAACAAATTGCCCACACGAATTCTAACTACACTTAGAACCTGCATGATTCACCACAAATCCATGGTAATGGCATATCCAAAACGAATCCCTAGTGTACATTTTAAATGCTGTCACACATATGGGAGACTCAGTGTTTTTAGAACTGACATCCCTGAAAGAAATGGTTAACACTGACCCCTCCCCCCACTACTATTGCCCACAGCCCACAAAACTTCAACAAGTCTGTGTCAGATATCTAGTCCCCTTTTGCACCTTCTGGTTCCTTCCTCTAGCCCCTAGTTACTACAGGACACAGTAGTGTGACGTAAGGGACAAAACATATATATATGATATATCCACAGCGCACAGAGGGGTAACCAGGCATTCAACACACGAACATGTTGGAAGCTAAAAATGTTTCAGCCAGACTAACTCAAAGACCGTGGAGATCAGCAGCAAAAAGGGTCAATATTGGTCCTTTGTTTTCAGGGATGCCTTTGATTTTCAGTTTTAAAAAGCATGAAATTCAATTTACAGGGCAAACATGCCATCAGCTCAGATCTAAATTCCAGTTAGACTGGAAACCTTTACTTTGTGCTCACTATGTGGGAACAGCAATGACTGCAGAGTGGACTACAGCAACACATTAAGCAATGGAATTTTTTTCCCTTGAAAACAAGCTTTTACTTCCAAAAGAGAAACAAAAACAATGCTTTACTTACAGACTTGCGCTTTAACATATTCAACATACTGCTCAGGGCTGAGAGCAGGGTGGCACCTTATGGACTGTGGGGTGCCTGTAGAAGGAGGGCGCAGGAAGGGATGATTGCAGATGCGAGTGGTATGTACAGTCAGAACATATGTACAAGACTGGGGCTCATCCACTCGTGCAATGTAGTCTCCAGAACCTTCTTCACACATGAACTGCAAAAACAAAATACCCAATATAATATATTTTTAACGAAAGGAAAAAAAAAAAAAAAAAAAAGTATCCTTCCTACACATTTTTTTGTTGTAAAAACAGAAAAAAGACAATTGTCTATGAACTAGAAAACATTATACTTTGTGCATTTTCAGCTATGTTTAACAAAAAAAAAAGAAAGAAAAAAAAAACCCAACAATATTAAATTCTTGCTTGTGTTGGCTAATCAGCTGCTCGGATCACTTTTAGGAAAAAGAGAAAATCGCTAGCTGAAAATTTTAATACCAGGGTTATGGCTAACGGCTGCAGCCATAGCCCCGATAAACTCACTTGAAAGCTGCAACATATATGTACGTTAGCGGGTCTTCAAGTGTTTAACCACTTGCCCTCCAGAGGATTTATCCCCCTTCTTGACCAGGCCATTTTTTGCTGTTTGGCACTGCACTATTTCAACTGGTAATTACGCGGTCGTGCAATGCTGTACCCAAATGAAATTTAAGTCCTTTTTTTCAAACAAATAGAGCTTTCTTTTGGTGGTATTTTGATCACCTTTCTGCGCTAACAAAAAAAAAAAAAGACCAACAATATTGATAAAAAATAAATAAAAAACACCCCACAATTTTTTCACTCTTGGTTATAAAGAAATAACCAATAAACTCAAAAGTTAGTCGTACATTTAGGATAAAATGTATTCTGCTACGTCTTTGATGAAAAAAAATCTCAATGTATGTATATTAATTGGTTTGTGTGAAAGTTATAGCCTCTACAAACTGTGGTATAGATAATAGAATTTACAGTTTTTACTTTCTCACTGCCCATCACATTTCTTGGTGTTAAAATACCAGGGCAGTACAAACTCTCCCAAATTACCCCTTTTCGGAAAGTAGACACCCCAAGCTATCTGCTGAGAGGCATATTGAGTCCATGGAAGATTTATTTTTTTTCCACAAGTTTATGGAAAATTACAAAAACTTTTTTTTTTTTTTTTACACAGCATTGCCATTTAAAATCTATATTTCTCACACAAGCCATGGGTATATATGTGGAATTACATCCCAAAATATATTCTGCTACTTCTACAGAGTATGGGGATAGCACACGTAGGAGACTTTTTGGGAGCCTAGCCACAGCTACGGGAGCCTGAAATCCAAGGACCACTTTGAAAGCCTGAAGGTGCATAACTTCCTCATTTCACTTCCTCACTACCCATCACAGTTGCGAAGGCCCTGAAATGCCAGGATAGCACCAAACCCCCCAAATGACTCCTTTTTGTAACGTAGACACCCTAAGGAATTTTAAAAAAGGCATGGTGAGTATTTTGCAGATCTAATTTTTTCTCACAAGGTTTTGAAATATAAAAAAAAAAAAAAAAAATAGGTTTTTGTTTTCTTTCTTCATATTCCAAAAACTTGTGGCAACAAACGAGATCTGCAAAATACTTACCATGCTTCTTATCAAATTCCTTGGGGTGTCTACTTTCCAAAAAGGAGTCACTGGGTGGGGGGGTTTGGTGCTATCCTGGCATTTCAGGGCCTCCGAAACTGTGATGGGTAGTCAGGAAGTTTAATGAGGAAATAAAGCCCTTTAAAAGCCTGAAGATGCTTATTGGATTTTGTGGTCCTGTACTTGGCTAGACTGCCAAAAGAGTCTCTCACATGTGGTACCCCCATACTCAGGAGAAGTAGGAAAATGTATTTTGGGGAGTAATTCCACATATACCCTTGGTACATGTGAGAAATAAATCATTTGACAATTTTGAGTAAAAAAAAAAAAATTGTCATTTTCCAAAAACTTGTAAATAAAAGAAAAATTCTTCTATTGACTCAACATGCCTCTCTGCAAATAGTTTGGGGTGTCTACTTTCCAAAAAAGGGTCGTTTTGGGGGGTGGGGGCATTTGATGCCCAGCATTAGAAGTTTATGCCACACATCATTCACTCTTCTAACCACCTGAAGACCAAGCCTTTTCTGACATTTTGTTCACATGAAAAAAAAAAAAAATCTATTTTATGCTAGGAAATTACTTTGAACCGCCAAACATTATATATATTTTTTTAATGCAGACACTCTAGTGAATAAAATGGTCGGTGCTGCAATTTTTTATATGTCACATAGTGCTCGCGCAGCGATTTTTCAAACGCAATTAAAAAAAAAAAAAAATACACTTTACTTTTAATGCACAAAAACAGAATATATTGGCCAATTATTCGGTAAAATATAAAAGATGATGGCATGTCGAACAAATAGATACCAAACATGACATGATTTAAAACTGTGCATGCCCCGTGCAATGGCAACAAAAGTGCATACATTTTTAATATCCATAGGCAATGCTTTAAAAGCCTTTAAAAGCTACCATTTTAGATTTACAGAGGAGTTCTAGTGCTATAATTACTGCCCTTGATCTGATGTTCGGGGCGATATCTCCCATGCATGGTGCAACCGCTGTTTACATAAGTTATTTTCATTTTTTTAAATTATTTTTACACTGTTCCTTTCATTTTTTTGTTGTTTTTGGATCACTTTTAATGCTATCACAGGGAATGAAAATATCCCCTATAACTTCAATGGGCATTGTCATTCCTTTTTGAGAAATCGGAGGTCTATCAGACTCTAGATGTCTCCTCTGCCCTTACATTATCTAATCTCACCAAGATCAGTGTGATCAGATGCTTTCCCAATTTACAAATGGCGCTGTTTATATTCAGTGAAACTGAAGTGATGAAATGCTCATAGCTTCCGATTTCTTAGACTATAAAGATGATTGGCACCATTCCGGTCTCCAATCAGCTCTATGTCAGCTGGCTGCATTCTCAGGTTCCCCCGATGGCACGGGACTGCCAAAGAAGGCAGTGGGGGAGGGGGGCATAGTCTCCCACTGCTTGCAAAAGCAATCTTATAGCTTATTAGCCACTAAGATTGCTTTTATATGAAAGTTGATCACCAGCTGAAAAAAATGATAGCAGGATGATGCCTATACGCAGCCTATGGGCTGAACAAAAAAAAATTAAAAATCTGCCAGAAAGAGAGTGTGGTATGCCCACCATTAGAATATACCGCCCTGCATCCACCCACTTCTAATGGTGGGCACACACTAGGTCGCCACATGCGTCAATTCCAAGATTGTACAAATATCTAAATAGTGGAATGCTTCAATAAAAATAGTCCACGTATAAGTGGTACCCCATATGGAAAAAGGATGACACCAAGTCCCAAACTATCTTGCCAGTGCTCCCCATATAGTTTGAGCATCCAGGGGATTCCAAGAGAGTGGGCCTTCTCCGGCGTGGCAACAGAGTCACTCTGTTGCCACGCCGGAGAAGGCCCACTCTCTTGGAATCTTTACTTTCTTTCGCCGGAAGCCGCTACTCAGAGCCCAGCTCATTCATTTGGATCCGCGGCGAGGCTTCCTCTGGGCCTGATCCAGACTGTTCCCTTGAATTCCATCCCTGAGTAGGGGGGGGTCTCCTCCTGGACTTACGGATTATGACTTTTTGCTGTTGTGGCCTACCACAAGTCCAGGTGACGTTGTTCGGGTTCCCGTTGGTGGAATGGGGTGATGGCCTGGGTTGGGTGCCGGTCCTACGGGGAGGTAGGTGGGGGACCACTTGGCTGTGTTGTGGGGTACCACGGCGGCCTGTAGTCGTCCTCCTGGAGGGGGTTGATCCCATGTTTAGCTGGGTTTCTATGGGGAGGTTACAGTAGATGTTCTTCTGGGACTTCTACTTTATTACTTTGGTACCCTGTTATATTGTGTTTATTGCCTTTTTGCCCCCTGAGGGCTTATGGCGTTGAGGTTTTCATTTGCAGCCATGTGTCCGGTGGTAGAGTCACCCCTAACTGGTATCCTTCAAGTGTAGGAGGATGCATGTCACCATTGGAGTGACACGTTTGTACTGTTGTATATACTTCTTGTGTCATTTTCTTTTTTTCTTTTCTTGTTTTCTTTTCTGGGTTTTCTTTTTTTATGCAGGGTTTTGGGACGCCATGGTCTGAACACCATTGGGAGAGAAAATTGTTGGCCGACTTATGCTTTTTCTGCTGAGCGTGCTGTACAGATACCGCCATGGCCTCACCCCTTCTGAAAGTACACTAACAAAATGTTCAAGGCTTAAATTCGCCTGAGAAAGTAGCTAAAATTTTTCATCACCTTAAATTGCAACAAACTGACGTGGTACGTTTACAGGAGACCAGGTTTTCTAAGTCCTCCACTCCACGGTATCTTTCGCTTCATTATCCCACCTTTTACATGGCCTCTGCTCCTGAGAAACGCTGGGGTGTACTGATAGCTTTCAAACGCAATCTTCCTTTTGTCTGTGCTTGGAATATAGCGGACCCTATGGGCAGGTATTTGCTTCTGCAGAACACCCTCTGGGACCAGGAGGTTACTTTTGTCTCTTACTGCACGCCCAATCACTTTCAGCATAAATTCTTCTCATCTTTGCACCATTGTTTCCCGACACTCCAAGGGTCTTCTTTTGGGAGAGTCAAATGTTACCTTGGATTCCACGGTAAAGCCACGGTGTGGGGTCATGTTATACAGCTGGCAGCGATTTGGAAGCGGAAGCACCGACTTTTGGAGCTTCATTCCCTACTAGCCTCTGTGGATGCTCATTGGAAGTAATTTCCATCCGCGGCCCATAAACGCGCACGAGACGCTCTGGTGGCAGAGTTGGACCTACTTACCTCTTCGGAGGCGGAATGGGCCCTGCGATGGACCAAACACAAATTTTATTCCTGTGCTAATAAGCCAGGTCTGATGGACAGGAAATTCAATTCTGTGGGGAAACCCCATAAAACGATCCGATTGCGACTTCCCACCAGTGGCTGTACTTCTAATCCCCAGCAGACTTCCTTTCGCGCCTTTATGCCAAACCAGATCCCTTCCCTGTGGCTCAAGCAGAGGCAGAGACTTCTGGATTATCCGAGGCAGCGCAGATGGCCCTCAATGCCAGTGTCACCGTATCGGAAGTGCTCCAAGCTATCAAATCTCTAAGGTCTAC